TACTTTAGCTTTTGGGATCCGGTTGCGGTTCTAGTTCTTATACCCAATCATAAACACGAGATCTAGTCATATTTGACTCCAAAAACACTAATCAAGCTTCTTATTGCTTCTCAAATCTTTGTGGGTGTGGCCGAAGTCCTATGAGTTTTCGGTTTTGGAGCTTCTAAACGGAAAAACACTACTTTAGCTTTTGGGATCCTGTTGCGGTTCTAGTTCTTATACCCAATCATAAACACGAGATCTAGTCATATTTGACTCCAAAAACACTAATCAAGCTTCTTATTGCTTCTCAAATCTTTGTGGGTGTGGCCGAAGTCCTATGAGTTTTCGGTTTTGGAGCTTCTAAACGGAAAAACACTACTTTAGCTTTTGGGATCCGGTTGCGGTTCTAGTTCTTATACCCAATCATAAACACGAGATCTAGTCATATTTGACTCCAAAAACACTAATCAAGCTTCTTATTGCTTCTCAAATCTTTGTGGGTGTGGCCGAAGTCCTATGAGTTTTCGGTTTTGGAGCTTCTAAACGGAAAAACACTACTTTAGCTTTTGGGATCCGGTTGCGGTTCTAGTTCTTATACCCAATCATAAACACAAGATCTAGTCATATTTGACTCCAAAAACACTAACCAAGCTTCTTATTGCTTCTCAAATCTTTGTGGGTGTGGCCGAAGTCCTATGAGTTTTCGGTTTTGGAGCTTCTAAACGGAAAAACACTACTTTAGCTTTTGGGATCCTGTTGCGGTTCTAGTTCTTATACCCAATCATAAACACAAGATCTAGTCATATTTGACTCCAAAAACACTAACCAAGCTTCTTATTGCTTCTCAAATCTTTGTGGGTGTGGCCGAAGTCCTATGAGTTTTCGGTTTTGGAGCTTCTAAACGGAAAAACACTACTTTAGCTTTTGGGATCCGGTTGCGGTTCTAGTTCTTATACCCAATCATAAACACGAGATCTAGTCATATTTGACTCCAAAAACACTAACCAAGCTTCTTATTGCTTCTCAAATCTTTGTGGGTGTGGCCGAAGTCCTATGAGTTTTCGGTTTTGGAGCTTCTAAACGGAAAAACACTACTTTAGCTTTTGGGATCCGGTTGCGGTTCTAGTTCTTATACCCAATCATAAACACAAGATCTAGTCATATTTGACTCCAAAAACACTAACCAAGCTTCTTATTGCTTCTCAAATCTTTGTGGGTGTGGCCGAAGTCCTATGAGTTTTCGGTTTTGGAGCTTCTAAACGGAAAAACACTACTTTAGCTTTTGGGATCCGGTTGCGGTTCTAGTTCTTATACCCAATCATAAACACGAGATCTAGTCATATTTGACTCCAAAAACACTAATCAAGCTTCTTATTGCTTCTCAAATCTTTGTGGGTGTGGCCGAAGTCCTATGAGTTTTCGGTTTTGGAGCTTCTAAACGGAAAAAACACTACTTTAGCTTTTGGGATCCGGTTGCGGTTCTAGTTCTTATACCCAATCATAAACACGAGATCTAGTCATATTTGACTCCAAAAACACTAACCAAGCTTCTTATTGCTTCTCAAATCTTTGTGGGTGTGGCCGAAGTCCTATGAGTTTTCGGTTTTGGAGCTTCTAAACGGAAAAACACTACTTTAGCTTTTGGGATCCGGTTGCGGTTCTAGTTCTTATACCCAATCATAAACACGAGATCTAGTCATATTTGACTCCAAAAACACTAACCAAGCTTCTTATTGCTTCTCAAATCTTTGTGGGTGTGGCCGAAGTCCTATGAGTTTTCGGTTTTGGAGCTTCTAAACGGAAAAACACTACTTTAGCTTTTGGGATCCGGTTGCGGTTCTAGTTCTTATACCCAATCATAAACACGAGATCTAGTCATATTTGACTCCAAAAACACTAACCAAGCTTCTTATTGCTTCTCAAATCTTTGTGGGTGTGGCCGAAGTCCTATGAGTTTTCGGTTTTGGAGCTTCTAAACGGAAAAACACTACTTTAGCTTTTGGGATCCGGTTGCGGTTCTAGTTCTTATACCCAATCATAAACACGAGATCTAGTCATATTTGACTCCAAAAACACTAACCAAGCTTCTTATTGCTTCTCAAATCTTTGTGGGTGTGGCCGAAGTCCTATGAGTTTTCGGTTTTGGAGCTTCTAAACGGAAAAACACTACTTTAGCTTTTGGGATCCGGTTGCGGTTCTAGTTCTTATACCCAATCATAAACACGAGATCTAGTCATATTTGACTCCAAAAACACTAATCAAGCTTCTTATTGCTTCTCAAATCTTTGTGGGTGTGGCCGAAGTCCTATGAGTTTTCGGTTTTGGAGCTTCTAAACGGAAAAACACTACTTTAGCTTTTGGGATCCGGTTGCGGTTCTAGTTCTTATACCCAATCATAAACACGAGATCTAGTCATATTTGACTCCAAAAACACTAACCAAGCTTCTTATTGCTTCTCAAATCTTTGTGGGTGTGGCCGAAGTCCTATGAGTTTTCGGTTTTGGAGCTTCTAAACGGAAAAACACTACTTTAGCTTTTGGGATCCGGTTGCGGTTCTAGTTCTTATACCCAATCATAAACACGAGATCTAGTCATATTTGACTCCAAAAACACTAACCAAGCTTCTTATTGCTTCTCAAATCTTTGTGGGTGTGGCCGAAGTCCTATGAGTTTTCGGTTTTGGAGCTTCTAAACGGAAAAAACACTACTTTAGCTTTTGGGATCCGGTTGCGGTTCTAGTTCTTATACCCAATCATAAACACGAGATCTAGTCATATTTGACTCCAAAAACACTAACCAAGCTTCTTATTGCTTCTCAAATCTTTGTGGGTGTGGCCGAAGTCCTATGAGTTTTCGGTTTTGGAGCTTCTAAACGGAAAAAACACTACTTTAGCTTTTGGGATCCTGTTGCGGTTCTAGTTCTTATACCCAATCATAAACACGAGATCTAGTCATATTTGACTCCAAAAACACTAACCAAGCTTCTTATTGCTTCTCAAATCTTTGTGGGTGTGGCCGAAGTCCTATGAGTTTTCGGTTTTGGAGCTTCTAAACGGAAAAAACACTACTTTAGCTTTTGGGATCCGGTTGCGGTTCTAGTTCTTATACCCAATCATAAACACAAGATCTAGTCATATTTGACTCCAAAAACACTAACCAAGCTTCTTATTGCTTCTCAAATCTTTGTGGGTGTGGCCGAAGTCCTATGAGTTTTCGGTTTTGGAGCTTCTAAACGGAAAAACACTACTTTAGCTTTTGGGATCCGGTTGCGGTTCTAGTTCTTATACCCAATCATAAACACGAGATCTAGTCATATTTGACTCCAAAAACACTAACCAAGCTTCTTATTGCTTCTCAAATCTTTGTGGGTGTGGCCGAAGTCCTATGAGTTTTCGGTTTTGGAGCTTCTAAACGGAAAAAACACTACTTTAGCTTTTGGGATCCGGTTGCGGTTCTAGTTCTTATACCCAATCATAAACACGAGATCTAGTCATATTTGACTCCAAAAACACTAACCAAGCTTCTTATTGCTTCTCAAATCTTTGTGGGTGTGGCCGAAGTCCTATGAGTTTTCGGTTTTGGAGCTTCTAAACGGAAAAACACTACTTTAGCTTTTGGGATCCGGTTGCGGTTCTAGTTCTTATACCCAATCATAAACACAAGATCTAGTCATATTTGACTCCAAAAACACTAACCAAGCTTCTTATTGCTTCTCAAATCTTTGTGGGTGTGGCCGAAGTCCTATGAGTTTTCGGTTTTGGAGCTTCTAAACGGAAAAAACACTACTTTAGCTTTTGGGATCCGGTTGCGGTTCTAGTTCTTATACCCAATCATAAACACGAGATCTAGTCATATTTGACTCCAAAAACACTAACCAAGCTTCTTATTGCTTCTCAAATCTTTGTGGGTGTGGCCGAAGTCCTATGAGTTTTCGGTTTTGGAGCTTCTAAACGGAAAAACACTACTTTAGCTTTTGGGATCCGGTTGCGGTTCTAGTTCTTATACCCAATCATAAACACGAGATCTAGTCATATTTGACTCCAAAAACACTAACCAAGCTTCTTATTGCTTCTCAAATCTTTGTGGGTGTGGCCGAAGTCCTATGAGTTTTCGGTTTTGGAGCTTCTAAACGGAAAAACACTACTTTAGCTTTTGGGATCCGGTTGCGGTTCTAGTTCTTATACCCAATCATAAACACGAGATCTAGTCATATTTGACTCCAAAAACACTAACCAAGCTTCTTATTGCTTCTCAAATCTTTGTGGGTGTGGCCGAAGTCCTATGAGTTTTCGGTTTTGGAGCTTCTAAACGGAAAAACACTACTTTAGCTTTTGGGATCCGGTTGCGGTTCTAGTTCTTATACCCAATCATAAACACGAGATCTAGTCATATTTGACTCCAAAAACACTAACCAAGCTTCTTATTGCTTCTCAAATCTTTGTGGGTGTGGCCGAAGTCCTATGAGTTTTCGGTTTTGGAGCTTCTAAACGGAAAAACACTACTTTAGCTTTTGAGATCCGGTTGCGGTTATAGTTCTTATACCCAATCATAAACACAAGATCTATTCCTATTTGACTCCAAAAACACTAATCAACACTACAGGAATATCGGGTATTAATAGCGTCTGAAAACGCTGTTTAAAGATATAATAGCGTTTTTGAAAGCGCTGTATATACGCCCGCTATAATAGGTAAGTGACTTTAAATAGCGTTTTTCTGTAATGCTATAATATGTTTATATAACATAGCGTTTTATTTTCTGCTATTATAAATTATATAATAGCGTTTTTTGTGTGTTATTAAAAAGTTAAGCATTTAGAAAAATTGATATTTGTTGTTTTTTAATATTATATATAATATTGTAATTATATATAATATTAGTACTACATAATATTTTAATATTATATATAATATTATAATTATTGCTTTGACAAAAAAAACTTTAAATCAAACTTAAAATTAAAACTGGATTTAAACCTGTCATTTTAAAAGATCATACAAAGAGTAGTACTACACCATGAGATAGAACAATGTTTTTTGACACAAACTTATGCTCACATGAATACAATATGCTTGTTAGGCAAAGCCACCAAGTTTCCTACTGCATCAGATATTACTTGAATTTCAGAATTTGGTCTCCACACTCGTGCACCATCAATCTTGGAAACCTCTACCCAGATCTTGCTAGCATTGGGACCTAAAGGACAGAGATGGACCTTGTCTTCTGGATCAGTGGAACAGACACGACCTATTGCAACTTGCTCCCCAGAATTATCACAATCTAATAGAAAGCAATTCTTTTTGGAGCCTTTGCTTGTACCAGTACTGTTAGTGCCACTCTAGTAGTCCAAATTATAAAAACATTCATCAGAATACCATCACATCAACATCAACATCAACATGCAACAAATATTGTCCAACTTAACTACTAGTAGCAGCCAAATCAAAACAAACAAATATAGAGTTGGTGTTACTGACCTGCAGAGGTGATGATTTTTTCGTTGATTCATCAAGTGTAGACAGAGGTATTTGTATCCTATCAGCAGGCCATGTGATGATCTCATTTAGTGCATCACCCATCAATGATGAACCTTTCATAGTAGGTCTCCATAAATAAGCACCAGGTTTAACCACCTTATCGACATTAATAACTGCATCATTTGGTCCCAGAGGAGCATTGTTGACCATTTCTTTAGGGTCAGTTGACAACAATATACCCTCAGCAATCACATCAGTATCCACATTCCAATAATCATAAATGTGAACTCTGTGAACTCTTCCTATTGATCCATCTGAAGCCTAATGAGTCATTGAAAGAGTTATACACAATGTATTAGTAATCTAATCCTTATGAATTTAGTTATTTAGAGAAATACAAACTCAATTTTAAATTACCTCGGATCTGTCAGTGTTATGAGGCTCTGTGAAGTTATAATCATCATCCAAAATTATCTTATCACTTGGCCATGGGATTTTAACTCCTACAGCTTCACCAAGTGAGCCAATGGATTGAGTAGGTCTCCAGAGAGATGCTCCTATTACTGATACAGAGTTGACAAGTACAGCAGCAGCATTACGGCCTATAGGAATGCGACCAATCTTGTATGTTGGTTCACAGGAGCAATATTCTCCTTCACCAACAACAATGTCATCTTTCGAACACCAATCTAGTAGCTGGCACCTAATTCCCCCTTTGCTAACATCGCTTAAACCAGACTTAGAAACATCATTACTCTGTTTTAAACACATAAACAAAATGCATATAAGTTGGCATCTAATTAAACAACAAAATTAACTGTGAAACAAAAACAATATAAGTTACCTGTTTAGCAGCTAAGTCACTAACCACAGTTTGCAATTTTTCAAGCTTAGCTTCAAGCTCCTTCACATGTGAGTCTCTGGCCTGTAAAAAAGCCAACTTAGTAATCGTAGCCCCTCTGCCCATCCCCCTAAGTCTTCCTGGTCTGTCTTTTCCTAGGATCTGACTCACAGCATCTTCTCTAATATTATTTGTGGATGTGGAGTCCATTTCACTATCAATTGACTTGATCTTTTCCTGAAATAAAGATTTATACTTAATATGGAGAATCTACCTTTAAAAACAATCTGAAGAACAATAAATCAAAATTTAAATCATTCTTACAATAGTTTCTTCGAATTCTGGCCTCACGGGTCTTCCATCAGCATGCGTGTGACCTGCTATCCAAACTTTACTTCTAGTAACTTTACTAGGATCAGGAGCCTTTTGTTTCTACAAGTTCATATAAAGGGTTATACACATATTTGAATTAATATAACAACTAACCAATTCAATACATATACCAGTACATACCATCTCATTAGCTAGCCTATGAAATCCTTTGCGGCTGGTGGTTTGAGGAATTTGAGATTTTCTAAGTTTGCTCATTGTCTCACTTTTTTCCTATTGACACAAATAGACATATATGAATAATCTCACAAACACCATATCAAATAATCAAAACACATGAAATAAATACCTTAAAAGCTGTGCTAGTTTTTTTCTTCACCCAAGCGTTCCAGTCAGATGTAGAAGGGATGTTGCTGGGCCTAATTTGCTGGATTTCAACCTTGCTTTTTGTTGCTCGAACTTTTGTAACCAGCTTTGATTTAGAGGATCGTCTTATATGATTCATCTGACCTAATATTGCTTCTTTACGCCAAACTTCATTCAAATTGAATCTCCCCTGTCAAACATTGCCAAGTAAAATCATTAAAACACAATTTGAAATACAAACAAATTACTCATATTCAGTCAAAAGGCTAAAAAACTTAACCTGAACTTCCTCCCACATTCTGTCTTTTGTATTTGCATCAAGATGTCTCCAGTCATCTAGCAGTACTGGGACATGCCCCCTCACAAGTATTCCAAGGAAGGAGGAGAGTGCCGCTGATCCTTTACCAACATGCGCACCTATAGCATTAAATTCAACTTCCAACTTTTCATCTGCATTTTTGGCCACTTTCCTCAACTTAGTTGGACCTCTAGTCTTCTTCTTTTTTTATCTCTGATTGTTGTGTCTGTGCTTCAGAAGGGTTAGAACCATTTGTTGTGGAAGCCGGGATTTGTTCATCTTGTACCCGGTGTGACTGTGCTTCTACTTCTTCTGCTGAACCAATATCTTCTCCATTATGCAGTGATTCCCTATTAACTTGATCCTCTTCTTCATAAAAATTAGCATCACTCTTCTCTCCTTCATTCTCCTCTATAACAGGCTTCTTCTGTCTCTTCCGAGGCAGTGATGGTACAGGAGTCACATCTTGGCCTTGTTGGCGCTTACTGCGACGAATTTGTTTAACAGCACCAGTTTTCATCCTCTTTTACCTGAAATACAACAATAACTTGTTAATTTTCTACTAGCACACCTTCACAATCATCCCTAACACAAAAACTCTCATCATCTGATGATTGATCGCCTAAATCTTCAATTGGCTGGACTGATAATGGTGCAGAAACAAACTCTTCTTCTGTTTCTAACTCATGGTATCCTCTTGGTGGCGCCCTCATAACAACATACCAAGGTGAGGAGTCATCTTCCCTAGAGTAAAAAACCTGTTTAGCTTGAGATGGCATAATGAAAGGATCATTCAAGAAAGCTGATTGCTTCATATGGAGATTCACAAGCGTGAAACCGTCTTCCTCTTTCAGTCCATTTCCTTTGTTAGCCCAAATACACTTAAAGAGTGGAACCTGAAACATATGGTAGTCCAGCAATATGATCTCCTTGATCACTCCATAGAAGACTACTATGTCTGCCGTTTGTCTAGTATCTTTAGCACTAGCTCTACACATTGAAAACGCTTCATAGGTTACTCCACTGTTCTGAGTCTTCCGTTTTACATCATCTGTATGGAACCGATGACCATTGATTATATACCCCTTATATGTTTGAGCAATACTTCTTGGTCCAAAAGCAAGCCATCTCAGCCTAGTCGAATGGCCAATTGAGTTTGTTGGTATCTAACATGAGAAATAAAACAATTCATTATCATGAAACTATAAATAAAACTTAAAAAAGAGCACAATTCAAATATGACTGTATTGTAACCTTTTCTTTGATCCATTGTGGGAACTTTTCAGTATGATATTTCCACAGAAGTGTTTCGTTTTTGGCGCATCTTACATCTGTAGACTGTAGTTCTTCCAAATGCAACATGTTTTTTTTCAATGCATGTTAATTAGTTATGAGAAATATTACAAGTGTATTAATAAAAGTACAAATACTGGCTCAGATCAGAACTTACTGAATATACGGATCCATGACTGCTGTATTCATAAGAATATACCGATGAGCTATGTCTCTCTCTTTATCAGTTAGTTTAACTTCTGTACCTTTCTGCAGTGGTCGGCCTTCAGCGACATGTTGATCTGCCTCAATATCTTCATTCCGATTAATAGCTTCTTGCACTGGAACAGATTTCTTTAAAAACTCCATACAGAATGAAATGCATTCACCAGCCAAGTATCCCTCAGCCATACACGCCTCTGGCCTTGCAAAATTCTTTACATACGCCTTTAGTGTTTTCATGTACCTACATCTCATTTTGAAAAGAATGTATGATTAATAGATACACATACTAGTAGTTAATAATGAAATATAACAAAATTTAAAAACAAGTACCTCTCAAATGGATACATCCATCTGAAATGTACGGGGCCACCCAAGCGAGCTTCCCTTGCTAAATGTATTGGAAGGTGAAACATGATGTCAAAAAGTGAAGGCGGAAAGAATCTCTCCAATTGGCACATTGTTTCCACGACCTCTGATTCTAGTGTAACTAGCTTCTCTGGATCAATAACACGTTGGCATAGTCTACTGAAGTAATTGCAGAGACGACTAACTGCAATCCGCGGTCCTTTTGGAAGTAAACCTCTCAATGTCACAGGAAATAAATTTTGCATTAGAACATGATGGTCATGCGATTTCAGACTACCAATATTGGGAGGATCAACTTATACACAATTTGCTATATTTGCACAATAGCCATCTGGACCTCTGAACTTGGAAAGCCTTTTGCAGAATTTACGTTTTTCTTCCTTAGAAAGCCAATAAGCAGCTGGAGGTAAATAAGTTCGCTTCCCACGTACCTCTGGATGTAAGTTGGTTCTAATTCCAATGTCTTCTAAATCTTGTCTTGCTTTCAAACCATCCTTTGACTTCACAGAATGCATCAGAATAGACAACAGTGCATCAGATACATTCTTCTCAACATGCATTACATCAATATTATGCCTTACAAGCATATACTGCCACATAAAGTACAAGAGTTGTCAGAAACACATTTTAATACTTTAAACTAAAACACATACAAAAAACAGAATGTACAAACTACTAACCTTCCAGTAAGGTAAGTCAAATAAGATTGACCGTTTTTTCCACCGCCAAAGAACATTGTCTTCTTCATATTCTTCAGCTGAAATAACATCTTCATCATCCACATCTCTCCTTCTCCTCTTACCTTTCTTATCTAAAGGTCGTCCAAAATCATTTCTGAAGTCTTTAAGACTCTCAAATATTTCAGCTCCACTCTGAATTCTGTTTACAGTACCAGACTCCACAGTGTTGTCAAACCAATGTTTTTTTTCTTCTATAGGGATGACCAGGTCTGAGACGCTTCCTATTACCCATGTATACATGTTTCCGACTAAACTTTAGCCACCTATGAGGTGTATCCTTCCCACAAACATTACACGCTTGTTTCCCCTTCACTTTACATCCAGCTAATGTCCCTAAGGCTGGGTAGTCAGTAATAGTCCACAACAATATAGCTCTAAGATTGAAACTCTCTTTAGCAAAAGAGTCATAAACTTTCATACCTTCAGTCCATAAATCTTTTAGATCATCTATCAAAGGCTGTAGATAGACGTCAATGTTGTTGCTAGGTGCATTTGGTCCAGGTATCAACAATGTCAGCATAATATTCTCTGCTTTCATACACTCAGTTGGAGCCATATTGTAGTTGACTAAGAAAACCGGCCATGTGCTGTACTTGGTATTTTGAATAGAGAACGGATTCATTCCATCTGTTGAAAGCCCTAGTCTAAGGTTTCTCGAATCTGCAGCAAACTCTGGCCATTTATTGTTTACCTGACTCCAAGTCAATGAATCCACTGGATGCCGCATAGAACCATCATCACTAGCATTGGTGAAGTGCCAACGCAAACCCTCAGCCAACCGTTTTGATCTAAACATCCTCCTAAATCTGTCTTTTATCGGAAAATACCAAAGCACCTTTGCTGGAATCCCTTTCTTCTCCTCACCAGTGTGCTTATCTTTTTCCCATCTTGACTCACTACATCTTGGGCAGTTCACCAACTTCTCATATTGATTCCGATAAAGGATACAATCATTTTTGCAGGCGTGAATCACATCATAACCAAAACCAAAGAGCTTCAAAAATTTCTTAATATCATCTGTAGACTTAGGCATGACATTGTCTCCAGGTAGCATGTCATGAATAAGCATCAGAAGCTGGTCAAAGTAGTTCTCTGACATCCCACTCTTGACTTTTATCCGGTAAAGTCCCATGATTGCAGCCACCTTGGTGTAGTTCTGACATGTCGAATACAATGGAGTTTCTGCATCCTCTAACTTCTTTCTAAACTCAAAGTCTTCTTGGCTGTCTATATCCTCAACTTCATCTACATTCTGCTGCTGAGATGGTTGAGTGCCTTCAGTCGCCATAAAAGCTGTTCTAAACAACTCGTAAGCCTCATTTTCAGATGAATCGACATTAGGTGTCTTCTCATTCATTATATCCCCGTGTAAACTCCAACATTTACTTCTCTTGTACTTCTGATCCATCCCTTTGATGACTAGATGTTCCACCACTGTATCCATTGACTGATGACAAACATTGCGGCAAAGAAGACAAGGACAGAACATTTCTGATGGATTACCCAAATTACTTGCTGATTCAACCACAAACTTAGTTGCTCCTGCTTCATACTCAAGGCTATTCCTACACGTTAACAAATAGTACCCATTACAAACTGAGAACAGTCAATCATAAAATAAAATCAATGCATATATGTAAGAACAAGTTAATACCTTGGCAACCAAACCCAAGCTTTATCCATTTCACAAGAGCTCCGACCAAATGTGCATACAAGTAATTTTCAGAGGCAGTCACTTTCAAAGCCAAAACAACAATACAAGTAATCTGATAGAAGAATCATATACCTGATAGAGTTTGTTCTCTTCTGATTAACTCGAACTACAACAGAAAAAGCAAAAATAGAAATCAATTAAACTCAAATCAATAAATCTACAAATCCAAACAAAAATTAAAAGAAAACGATTTCATTATTAGTCTTTGATTTGGCTCTGTTTACCTTCTCTTGGGTGTTGACTCCTTCAATCTGGACAAGTGATGTGTTTGGATACTGGTTCGACTACGACCTGCACATTGAAGTAAATGTCAGACCAGATCTAGTTTCAAATTGTTAGGACTCGTTCAAACATAACTCAGTTAACAAGGAAGATGTGAAAGATACACAAAGCAGCTCAAAGCAGTTCAAAGAACATGTAGATACAGTCTCAAATGTGTAAGCGATTCTACCTAAATCCTCAAATCCCTAAATCCCCAAATTCTAAATCCTCAAATCCCTAAATCGACCAAACCCAAACCCAAATCGTCATCTCGCAGCTCTCTCTCTACAAATCAAGAACAAATTTGTGATTAAATGGGATTTACCTTCGATTTAGTGGGATTCCCAAACAGATCGAGCATACAAGGAAGATGGGAGAACCTAAGGAAGAGCAAAGAGGTTGAAATTATTCGGAAATTTCTGTTTTGTGTCTGTCGGAGATAGCAAAGAGGAGAGAAAGAGGAAACCCTAAAAATTGAAGAGTAAAGTCGACAAAGATGAGCTAAGGGGAAAAAGAAAAGAAATGCCCAAAAATATTTCTAAGTGTAGTAGCGGGAATGGGAAATTTTTAGCGCCCAACCCTTTCAATAGCGTTTTAATATGGTAATGCTATTAAATATACTTCCGCGTCATGTAAAAATTGTGAAACACTATCCATAGCGTTTCAACAAGGTAGAAACGCTATTGAAAGTTCAGAGGTCCTCTAACAATAGCAGAATGACTACAAACGCTATTGTATAGTGCTATTAAAACCCGATATTCCCGTAGTGCAAGCTTCTTATTGCTTCTCAAATCTTTGTGAGTGTGGCCGAAGTCCTATGAGTTTTCGGTTTTGGAGCTTCTAAACGGAAAAACACTACTTTAGCTTTTGGGATCCGGTTGCGGTTCTAGTTCTTATACCCAATCATAAACACGAGATCTAGTCATATTTGACTCCAAAAACACTAACCAAGCTTCTTATTGCTTCTCAAATCTTTGTGAGTGTGGCCGAAGTCCTATGAGTTTTCGGTTTTGGAGCTTCTAAACGGAAAAACACTACTTTAGCTTTTGGGATCCGGTTGCGGTTCTAGTTCTTATACCCAATCATAAACACAAGATCTAGTCATATTTGACTCCAAAAACACTAATCAAGCTTCTTATTGCTTCTCAAATCTTTGTGGGTGTGGCCGAAGTCCTATGAGTTTTCGGTTTTGGAGCTTCGAACGGAAAAAACACTACTTTAGCTTTTGGGATCCGGTTGCGGTTCTAGTTCTTATACCCAATCATAAACACGAGATCTAGTCATATTTAACTCCAAAAACACTAATCAAGCTTCTTATTGCTTCTCAAATCTTTGCTGGGTGTGGCCGAAGTCCTATGAGTTTTCGGTTTTGGAGCTTCTAAATGAAAAAAACACTACTTTAGCTTTTGGGATCCGGTTGCGGTTATAGTTCTTATACCCAATCATAAACACAAGATCTAGTCCTATTTGACTCCAAAAACACTAATCAAGCTTCTTATTGCTTCTCAAATCTTTGTGGGTGTGACCGAAGTCCTATGAGTTTTCGGTTTTGGAGCTTCGGAACGGAAAACCACTACTTTAGCTTTTGGGATCCGGTTGCAGTTCTAGTTCTTATACCCAATCATAAACACAAGATCTAGTCATATTTGACTCCAAAAAAACTAACCAAGCTTCTTATTGCTTCTCAAATCTTTGTGGGTGTGGCCGAAGTCCTATGAGTTTTCGGTTTTGGAGCTTCTAAACGGAAAAAACACTACTTTAGCTTTTGGGATCCGGTTGCGGTTCTAGTTCTTATACCCAATCATAAACACGAGATCTAGTCATATTTGACTCCAAAAACACTAATCAAGCTTCTTATTGCTTCTCAAATCTTTGTGGGTGTGGCCGAAGTCCTATGAGTTTTCGGTTTTGGAGCTTCTAAACGGAAAAACACTACTTTAGCTTTTGGGATCCGGTTGCGGTTCTAGTTCTTATACCCAATCATAAACACAAGATCTAGTCATATTTGACTCCAAAAACACTAACCAAGCTTCTTATTGCTTCTCAAATCTTTGTGGGTGTGGCCGAAGTCCTATGAGTTTTCGGTTTTGGAGCTTCTAAACGGAAAAACACTACTTTAGCTTTTGGGATCCGGTTGCGGTTCTAGTTCTTATACCCAATCATAAACACGAGATCTAGTCATATTTGACTCCAAAAACACTAATCAAGCTTCTTATTGCTTCTCAAATCTTTGTGGGTGTGGCCGAAGTCCTATGAGTTTTCGGTTTTGGAGCTTCTAAACGGAAAAACACTACTTTAGCTTTTGGGATCCGGTTGCGGTTCTAGTTCTTATACCCAATCATAAACACGAGATCTAGTCATATTTGACTCCAAAAACACTAATCAAGCTTCTTATTGCTTCTCAAATCTTTGTGGGTGTGGCCGAAGTCCTATGAGTTTTCGGTTTTGGAGCTTCTAAACGGAAAAAACACTACTTTAGCTTTTGGGATCCTGTTGCGGTTCTAGTTCTTATACCCAATCATAAACACGAGATCTAGTCATATTTGACTCCAAAAACACTAATCAAGCTTCTTATTGCTTCTCAAATCTTTGTGGGTGTGGCCGAAGTCCTATGAGTTTTCGGTTTTGGAGCTTCTAAACGGAAAAAACACTACTTTAGCTTTTGGGATCCGGTTGCGGTTCTAGTTCTTATACCCAATCATAAACACAAGATCTAGTCATATTTGACTCCAAAAACACTAATCAAGCTTCTTATTGCTTCTCAAATCTTTGTGGGTGTGGCCGAAGTCCTATGAGTTTTCGGTTTTGGAGCTTCTAAACGGAAAAAACACTACTTTAGCTTTTGGGATCCGGTTGCGGTTCTAGTTCTTATACCCAATCATAAACACGAGATCTAGTCATATTTGACTCCAAAAACACTAACCAAGCTTCTTATTGCTTCTCAAATCTTTGTGGGTGTGGCCGAAGTCCTATGAGTTTTCGGTTTTGGAGCTTCTAAACGGAAAAAACACTACTTTAGCTTTTGGGATCCGGTTGCGGTTCTAGTTCTTATACCCAATCATAAACACAAGATCTAGTCATATTTGACTCCAAAAACACTAATCAAGCTTCTTATTGCTTCTCAAATCTTTGTGGGTGTGGCCGAAGTCCTATGAGTTTTCGGTTTTGGAGCTTCTAAACGGAAAAACACTACTTTAGCTTTTGGGATCCGGTTGCGGTTCTAGTTCTTATACCCAATCATAAACACAAGATCTAGTCATATTTGACTCCAAAAACACTAACCAAGCTTCTTATTGCTTCTCAAATCTTTGTGGGTGTGGCCGAAGTCCTATGAGTTTTCGGTTTTGGAGCTTCTAAACGGAAAAAACACTACTTTAGCTTTTGGGATCCGGTTGCGGTTCTAGTTCTTATACCCAATCATAAACACGAGATCTAGTCATATTTGACTCCAAAAACACTAATCAAGCTTCTTATTGCTTCTCAAATCTTTGTGGGTGTGGCCGAAGTCCTATGAGTTTTCGGTTTTGGAGCTTCTAAACGGAAAAAACACTACTTTAGCTTTTGGGATCCGGTTGCGGTTCTAGTTCTTATACCCAATCATAAACACGAGATCTAGTCATATTTGACTCCAAAAACACTAATCAAGCTTCTTATTGCTTCTCAAATCTTGTGGGTGTGGCCGAAGTCCTATGAGTTTTCGGTTTTGGAGTTCTAAATGAAAACACTACTTTAGCTTTTGGGATCGGTTTGCGGTTCTAGTTCTTATACCCAATCATAAAACACAAGATCTAGTCATATTTGACTCCAAAAACACTAACCAGCTTCTTATTGTATTCTCAAATCTTGTGGGTGTGGCCGAAGTTCTATGAGGTTTCGGTTTTGGAGTCTTCTAAACGGAAAAACACTACTTTAGCTTTTGGGATAGGAGTTGCGGTTTCTAGTTCTTATACCCCAATCATAAACACGAGATCTAGTCAAATTTGATTTGACTCCAAAACACTAATCAAGCTTCTTATTGCTTCTCAAATCTTGTGGGTGTGGCCGAAGTTCCTATGAGTTTTCGGTTTTGGAGCTTCTAAACGGAAAAACACTACTTTAGCTTTTGGGATCTGTTGCGGTTCTAGTTCTTATACCCAATCATAAACACAAGATCTAGTCATATTTGACTCCAAAAACACTAATCAAGCTTCTTATTGCTTCTCAAATCTTTGTGGGTGTGGCCGAAGTCCTATGAGTTTTCGGTTTTGGAGCTTCTAAACGGAAAAACACTACTTTAGCTTTTGGGATCCGGTTGCGGTTCTAGTTCTTATACCCAATCATAAACACGAGATCTAGTCATATTTGACTCCAAAAACACTAACCAAGCTTCTTATTGCTCTCAAATCTTTGTGGGTGTGGCCGAAGTCCTATGAGTTTTCGGTTTTGGAGCTTCTAAACGGAAAAAACACTACTTTAGCTTTTGGGATCCGGTTGCGGTTCTAGTTCTTATACCCAATCATAAACACAAGATCTAGTCATATTTGACTCCAAAAACACTAATCAAGCTTCTTATTGCTTCTCAAATCTTTGTGGGTGTGGCCGAAGTCCTATGAGTTTTCGGTTTTGGAGCTTCTAAACGGAAAAACACTACTTTAGCTTTTGGGATCCGGTTGCGGTTCTAGTTCTTATACCCAATCATAAACACGAGATCTAGTCATATTTGACTCCAAAAACACTAATCAAGCTTCTTATTGCTTCTCAAATCTTTGTGGGTGTGGCCGAAGTCCTATGAGTTTTCGGTTTTGGAGCTTCTAAACGGAAAAAACACTACTTTAGCTTTTGGGATCCGGTTGCGGTTCTAGTTCTTATACCCAATCATAAACACGAGATCTAGTCATATTTGACTCCAAAAACACTAATCAAGCTTCTTATTGCTTCTCAAATCTTTGTGGGTGTGGCCGAAGTCCTATGAGTTTTCGGTTTTGGAGCTTCTAAACGGAAAAAACACTACTTTAGCTTTTGGGATCCGGTTGCGGTTCTAGTTCTTATACCCAATCATAAACACAAGATCTAGTCATATTTGACTCCAAAAACACTAACCAAGCTTCTTATTGCTTCTCAAATCTTTGTGGGTGTGGCCGAAGTCCTATGAGTTTTCGGTTTTGGAGCTTCTAAACGGAAAAAACACTACTTTAGCTTTTGGGATCCGGTTGCGGTTCTAGTTCTTATACCCAATCATAAACACGAGATCTAGTCATATTTGACTCCAAAAACACTAATCAAGCTTCTTATTGCTTCTCAAATCTTTGTGGGTGTGGCCGAAGTCCTATGAGTTTTCGGTTTTGGAGCTTCTAAACGGAAAAACACTACTTTAGCTTTTGGGATCCGGTTGCGGTTCTAGTTCTTATACCCAATCATAAACACAAGATCTAGTCATATTTGACTCCAAAAACACTAACCAAGCTTCTTATTGCTTCTCAAATCTTTGTGGGTGTGGCCGAAGT